GTGTGTTCATTACACCAATCTATTTAACTATATTTCTTTATAATAGGCTCCTAAGCTCCGAATGCATACATACATATATCTGTATCGACCTACCCCGATTTCCTTTAAATTTTTATTTTGGAAACTTGTTTTTGTAGACAATACTGTCTAGAGCAATTTATAAAACTTATAAAAATGTTCATGCCCTATGATTCTTTAATTTGGAAAGAGGAAATTAAGTACGATATTTTATTTTAATTAATAAGCTAAGCAGGAATTGAAATGGATATGGTTTAAACGATAAGCAGGTAATTTAATTTCAATACACATTATAGAAGTAAATATTTATGAAATAACCATTCACTCTAAAGGGTTCTTCCCTAGAACTGCGCACCTCGGGCTCAAATTAAACGCTTGCCTAAGACCCCTTATAAAATTACATTAACTTTATAATACCGTAAAGCGCGGTAACCAGCACTCGATTAAAAGGGCCCATACAAAGATAATTATGGCCCAGGTTATAACGCTCAGCGGTATCTCATTAGTATGATATCGGTGTCTTGTGCAAATGTTTCGTATCGCTTTCATAAAATTATAAGTGGTTAATGAATAAGCAAGTTGTTATCTGTGCTGCCCACACAGCTCTGTACTTATACAATATAAGGGTTTATTTTGTCTGTGTCGTTTTTTGTATGGTGAATCTGGACGCAATAACCATTTGCCGGAAAAAATTGCAGTTCTAAATTGCATTTCTAAACGGCTATTCTTAGAATACTTATACATATTAGCTAAAGATAGCTTATGTACTGGAACGATTACATCTCCGTCCTCATAGTCACAAGTCTTCCAATGCCTAGCACATTAGTCTTTTATCAAAATACACCTATGTAGTTAGATACTCTGTTTTAATAACCAATAAGTTCAGAGATTGAGTAAAATCAAGTCTGGAGAGTAATGAGACTGGTGTCGTATCTCGATACGCCTGAGGTTAAGCCGCCTACACAGCGTTGCAAGCCTTGTACACAGGTATATATCGAGGAGCGTGAGGAGATCACGTTATGACGAGATTATCATTATTATCACTTCATCTTCGCAAACAATAAGTGTATTATAGTTTACTTCTACGGTAACTTCAGTATTAGATCTCTATATATATTAAAATTTAATTTCGTTTTGAAAAAAATAAATTAAGCAAGTGATTACCTGAGTAGAATTCGAAACCGCGGTCTCGTTTTAATTGGTAATATCATAATGTTATGTTGCCAGCGAAGGGTAACTGGCCGGTAACGCGAAGAGCCATAATTATTTAGGTACCAATGATTTGTGTACGAGTTTTTATGTCTTCAGAAAATGTTTTAGAATTTAGATAGACAGAATCAAATGTCGTTACAAATATCGTATAGGTACGCGCGACGATTGTAAGCCAATAAATCAAAAGTCACAAGAGTCTTAAGTTCAAATTCGAGTTTTGGATATCTGGCACAAATTAAAACTTCCAACATTCAGTGTTTTCACTTCCACTTTTTCTATTTACTTTTCTATTAAACTTTGTTTTCTGTAGATACGGGATGAGGCAGCTTCGAGATTTATCTACGCGATACCGTTCTATTTGGCCGAGGGAAAATTCAATTTGGTTTTTACCTGAGGGTGCTTCGTGCGAACCCTCGCATCCTCTCTTTAATGTTGTTGGATTCTTCGTAAGAAAATATAACCGATGATATTTTTACTGCATATTGTACATTTCATATCTAGTGTGATTGGGATGCCGCGCCACGTAAAATTTTCACCAAAATATTTTATGCAAATATTTATGATATGAAATTTTGATCGAATGCTTTAAATGATATAAATGGCGAGAATGAAATATATTTATTTAGATAGGTAGGTACGAACAATTTTCTAAACGTTGTGCGAGTTTCTATTGATGATCAAAATATGATTTTACTCATATTTTCATTTATCTATAATTCTGCTTTCGTATTTATCACCTCCTCATCACCACCTAATGTGCTTGAATAAACGAGCATTAGGTAGTCCGGTCAAGCTGAACATAATAATAGTGGTCAAATAACAGAAAGTCTAGTCTAAAGTAACAGAAATAAAATAGGTATCTAAAGTTTCCGATATATTACTTACACGTGATTAATATTAATACAATAGGCAATGTTGCAGTGAATATTTTCATTGCTGTTTATTTTCAATATAATTAATATTTTTCCGGAAATAGTTCGTAGTATTTTGTCGATGTAGATATTACACATCTATTAATGTATGTATTTCGGATTACGTTAGCCTTTTAGACGAGACTAGTGGCGGTCGATCAGAATCTTTGACAAAAAGTATTCGACATTCTTAAAATATTAATCATGTTAGTTGTTTACCATCTCTAATACCAAAGGCAATACTTACCTACATCTAAGATCGTAAATTGGTATTTGATTTTAACCTTCGCACGTTCAGGTGCCTATTTTCTAAACGAGTTTTGAGAACTCAGTAATGATAATTACTTGAGAACAATTTGCTTTATAACAAAGAGTAACCCTCTGCCACCTCAACGTAACTGTAAAAAATACACATTTTTCTTTTGAAACGTCTTCCCTGTAAAGGTCTGTTATAAATTCATCTTCTGAATTCGCGAGGTAGGTAGCCACCCACCATAACTTCGGCTCTGTATTTAAGACGTTTTTAGAAAACATTTCTGAATGTCGACAATGGATGAAGAAAAACAGTTGACAAAAGCGATTTTGCTGTTTTCATTTACTTTCCATTATTCTTTAACTCGTTTGTCATTCTTTTCTCTCCGCCCGAGGCGTGTAAAGAAGAAGAATGAAGGTTGTTTATATTTACGCAGCTAAGTGACTGGGTAGCAAGAAATAAGTAACATTTGCAGCAAAGATTTCCCGCTTGCTGTTTGTAATACGTAGGGTGAAGTTTATGCGCGAACCATTAGCGCTGTCAAAGCAGTGCTTTACTTTAAAAATGGTATGTGTTACACCCATTTACAATAAGCTAAACGAACTACCTATTAAGTTTGCAAGAAATAACCGGTAAATGTCTATTTTGTTTGTTGTTTTACATTATGTTGTGTTTGTTTCTCCTATCACAGGGCTGCAGGAAGAAATTCCAAAAGTAAGGGATATGCAGTGCCTATGTACCTTTGTTTGGTAATACTTTTTCCTGTATTGTACCTACATAAAAAAGTAAATAAAAAAATAAAATGTCTATTTACTTACTGAAAATTCGTTATTATGAAGTTATTACTAAGTGCCTACCTTCGAACTTAGTTAAATATTCACAAAGATACATACGAACGGTTCTGTAATAGATATAAATGAGTTTGTGCGTCTCTAGAGCGCCATGGTTCACTATCATTTCTCTGGGTTGGAATTAATCACTTAGTCAGACAAGCTCTCGTCTCTGAGATATCGTTAATTTAACACTTAAAACGTTTTTATTCGAGTGGATAATTGCAAAGGGGCGGTCGTAATGGGCCACGTTCGGGCTCGGCAAAGATTGATGGCGTGCTGTTGGAACATTAAAATAGCCGTCTACATTTGAATAAGAAATACTTGATCGCCCGCGGGATTACGCGATCAAACGATCGTTTGTATTTTTTCGGCTCGCGATTGTGAATGTAGGAAATTCGCGAGTGGGTTTACGATGTTTAAATGTTTTTCGTATATGTAAATGGTACTTTGTTTTGATATTCTGTTGGTAGATAGGTAGTGAAATACCTACCTATTTTGTTGCTAAGAGCAGCAGTTAGTAGGGCTGGATCCAACATATCAATAAAATTGTTCTTGTGTAAAAAATATCTGTCTTCACGGGTAGGTAATATTAAAGTACTCTTATTTATAAGTCACTTGTATCACAAACAAAAATCAAATCGAATCTCCTTCCCCATGCTACATCGAGTAGTGGCAAGTATAATTTAAATGTTATTGTAGGCAGTATTTCCTCCCCGTGCCGGGTGTTTGTACCCAATGTAAAGATAATGTTAGAAAAACAACGATACATGCAGGGGAGAGGGTCGGGCGCTAATCTGATAGCTGAGTGAAAAGATTTAGTGTTCACCCCACCGGTATTAATCTGCAACAATATTACAGTTACCTACGTAAATACAGGAGCTTTAACTTCAAATAAAAACCAAGTTACTTTGCCAAATGAGACTAAATAATAATTAGAATAAGTTATTTGTGGACGAAATTTTCAATACTCGTTTATTCAGATGGCTTTTGGGATAATCCTCTAAGCCAACGTAAAGCAGTGGACATTTACGAGCCGATATTATGAGCACGATGAAAAAGAAAATGGACGATGAAAATACCTAGTGATTTAATGAAAAATATAGGAATAAAGAATGAGGATTAGCCCAGTATTAAAGTATGGAAATTGTTTATAAAGATTGTGTAAGCAGTAAAGACTATTATTGCTTCTATCCGGATCCGGATAAACGCTGGCTGTATCACAAATACATTTTTTCCAATTGAGTCGGTTGTATTGCACAATATTAGCAATATCGAATGCGCGAGGACTCGATCCCTTGCAATGGAAGGCAAATGCCAGCAAGCGAGCTCACTACGACTATATTGCGATACGATGCGATGATATTGGAATTCCACCGTAAAATAATAACATAACAAGTACAATCGACTGTTTATTTAAAATCGAATATGAAAACAATGTATTTGTGCAACTTTTTTATATTGCGATGTGTAACTTTGTAAGCAACGCCCAATATTTAAATATTTCAAAATAAAATTAAATGTTAACCATCTTGATGGGATATGTAGATCCAAGTCACAAGGGTGCTTTTTTATTTTCTATTCTATTATTTTTTCAATTTAGGCCCGGTATTCATTATCTGGACTGGGGGTTTCTAATTTTTAAGTCACATTTAGTTCTAATTTTTAAGTCTCATTGAATTTAAGTTTGAATTAAACTTATAATGGAACTACGACAAAATACTTTAACAATTGAAAGACATTACGTATTTTTCTGTGAAAATAATAAACAAAACATTTTAAAAATAACATAGTCTTTATTTTGAAGATCAACTTACAATAAAATATAAATACAAAAGAATTATGATGAACATTTTAATCTGAATCATCGTCGATAACTATTCTACGCTTCTTTTTATCCCTCGACGACACAATTATCTCGTCATTATCTTCAGTACTGCTGTTATCTGTAATGGGAGAGAAAATATAAATAAACAGCACTTTCAGAAAACAATCATTAAAAAGTAAGAGATGTTATAAATATTGTGTTTATTTCTAAAACGTGAAATAGATTTATTTGACCGCCTCGTTAGTCGAGCTGAACAAAATGTTTCACGTTCAATTCTCTATTCTGACAAAGTATTATCGTTTTCTTTCGGATCTTCCCAAATGATTGTAGTAGTACGAAGCCATGGTCTGAGTCTGGTATATGGTATTAAGTTCACTGTCTATTACTTTATACTTAAACTGTCCAACACCGCGAGGACACCGGTGACCGCAACCTATTGTTCTTTAATTGTGTCTATAATGACGGTACTCAATTACTCAAAGGGTTAACTTGCTAAAAGAGAATTTAGCACCCAAAATGTACCTTCAAGTCTTAAAATTACCAAAACATCGGTGATGTGTTAAAATAAGTATAATAACTATAATAGGTGTCAATTTTATTGTTTTAGAACTGTTGGAAATTGAATTATAGTTGAGGGGATAGCCGTATAAGTAAGGTTTAATGGACGTATCAGTTGTGTAGTCTGTAGTGTAAGGGCGATATAATCCTTTAAATATTTTACAATGGCCGTGAGAGGCGGACACGTGCAGGATAACAAATGGAAGGATGAAAGTATACACTATTACTTTGTATTAAAAACTACTTCATACACTAGCTCATTTTGATTCTATTGCCTGAATAGTATATTTTTAAGGCACCTTGTTGCACTTTTCGCCAACTTCGTTATTTCGTACTAATAGGTACCAAACCTAGTCTTTTTTTTTAATGGGGGGAAAATCATCGAATGACTGCTCCCGCCTGGGTGAGGCGGAAGGGAGTGTCAGACTCTTACTGACTAAAAACCACCCCGTTCTTTCTCCTGCACGTAAACCTATAGTCTAATAGAAGGCTTCATAACATATTTCAGAGTCAATCCTACAAATGAAAATTTCAATACTTTCTACGAAACGGGAAGCGAATACAGAATCTCGTACTTGTTAGGTACTACTACCACTCAATAAATGAGGCAGCCTAAACAATAAGAGGCAATAATACCACAATTTTCTAGACTCTATGAAGAGAACGAGCATTTTCATCGTTTTTATTATTGAGAATGCAATATCGGAAAATATCGCGAGTTTACCGTTAGGTCGTTTGCACTTACCGCTGTCCAATTTAGGAATATTGCTTATAATATCCTCGCTGTCCGGCAGTTCCTCGTGTTGTAGAGTTCGTTTAGCGAACGACAATATATCGTCATCGTCGTCATTATTCGCTACACTTTCGTCTGCTTCGTCAATTTTCTGCATTTTCCCTCGACTGTTATCGGCGTCGTCGTCAGAATCGCTGCGGGTGCGTTTCCGATTACGTGTTATCTCATTGGATTTCGTACCGACACTTTTATTGGGAACCATTTCATTATTATCTCGCATCTTTCTCAAATTATCGAACAAGTCGTCGTCATCGCTCGATTCTTCTTTTTCTGCTATGTCTACGGCGGGCGTCACCTCGGCCGCTTCACTAGTGTCGATTAAAAGTTCTTTGTGAATAGCTTTTATAATTATCTCGCGTCGTTTCCTGATTGTCTCAAAGTGCAAGGTGCTCGGTATTCTCCAGTATTTTTCCTGTAACAACGCGACGCGACGGTTTGTTTAATTTATAACGACGAGAGATTTTCAAAGGAGGCTAACACTAGTATGATAACAATTAGATTTATTTTTAATACTTAAATTATGTAATAAAATAGATATTATTTTTCATTTCTACGCGGACGACATACCTGTTCATCAAAAGGTGGCACACCCCAACCCCAAGCAGTACTTTCTTGAACAGTTTACTCTCCATGGCGTCGACTGACTCCTGCGACAGCGGTAGTAGAGGTACGCCCTCACTCTCCGGATCGTAGCCCTCAGCCTCTTGGTCCAAAGCAACTTCTTCTAAATTCTCCGCCAGCCATTTCAAAGCTTCAGTTAAATCTGTTATAACCATTTTCATTAAAAGTTACACCAATACAGTTTTATTGAACTCCGTTATTAGTTCGACTTCATATACGAACGGAGGATATAACGCGGGATGTAGAATTATTAGAAACCCGAGAACTAATAAACCGATTTTGCTCGGACAAATTAAAAAGTACAAAAATGCAATGTGCAACACTTTCAAACTTGAATTTTTCAACTTCTTTACTTTCTCGTTTACACATGTATTAAATTAAAAGTGCAATTAAAATTTGATTTACTTTTCATGAGCGTTTACTGATTTCCTTTTCTTTGCTCATATTACTTGGACTTCCATGTTCTATTAAAAGCCAGTTCCTATATTCAAAGCTAAAATGAATTGTATTAGCTATGTAGCATTGAAAACAAGGTCTATCGATAGTCAGGGCTAGTGCCTCGAGGAAGACTACGACCCTGACCTATGTCTAGATAAAAATCTTATACAGTAAATCCTGAACATTATACCGAGGCATAAAGTATATACAAACATTACAGTATTTATTCAACCTAGATTAAATACCAAGGCACAGCAACTTGACATTTATGTCTAAGTGATTGCTTGTTGTTTACTGTAGCATTTTTATAAAAAGCTGTACGAAACCCACTCCTTATGTGGGTATATTTAGTCTAAATCATATTGACTTGATATATATGTAATACACCATAATGTACCAGGAACGATAATGAGTCAGAAACGATATATCCTTGTAAGACCTTATAATATGTACCTACATTGAATGCACATAAATTATTCTATTCTATTCACAAATTCGTGATGTGGTGATTCAAAGACACATTTGTACTGTAACAGATGGCTTTTTAACTAATTTTCTAGATTTTTGACTGAAATAACAACTGTTGTATCCACAATACGACCCACCTAACCCATAATAAACAAATTCTTATTCTGAAAAGACAAGACAGGATTAATATTTTGAATGTAAATGTTATTAGAGTTACTTACCGCTGTCGACGGCTTGTACCATGAGCTTAGCGATCTCATTAGCAGTCAGCTCGATTCGTTTCTGTTGCTTCTCTCGCTTTTTATTGGGTTTTGGAACGTTCTTGTTTTTACTTGGTTTATTTTTAATGGGCTGTGGCGGTGCATCGCTATCGGAGCCCGAGTTATCGTCTGATTCCGAGTCTGATGGTTCGCCTAAAATTTTGTCAAGATGTTTTAGTTTAAAATCTGATGTCTAGTTTTTATCATTTGAAAGCAAGTTAAGAGATGTAATAAACAAGTATGGTGATACTGAGAACAGCTCTACTTATCGCCGCAACCAGGCACCCTGCTCATGAGGAATAGTCCCTCTGTGACTCGAAACCAGTAGAGCTTAACGGAGTAGGTATATTTACGTGAGTAAACCGTTATCTTTAGTTAACTCAGTATGATTCGCGATAGTTATTTTTAAAAAATAAGTATGATAATCAATTCAAAACGTTTTAAAATAGATTTAACATTATTTCCAGACACTTGTTGTAATTTCGATATTGTTACTGAAAAATATTGGACCAAGAAACGCGCCACTGACATAATAATCTCCTTTACTACATAAAACTAATAACGTAAATGGTTTAAAGTAGTTATGCCTTGGAGAAAACACAAAAGTGATGTGATGTGATTAGCTTAACGTGTGTCTTGCGAAGTGTTTTTATCATACTATAACATGTACACAAAGCACCGCTAATTAGTTGCAGCGCTACACATCGACACAACTGTCATTTACACAGTGTACATGTGTGCGTAATTTCATATAACTGTATATAAAAATATTCGTCCACCACGTTCACATTGGTATTTTCATTCTTGTGTCGGTATACGTATTTTTATAATTTAATGCATAGGTAAGGTTAAAACTATTTACAATCATTGATATGACCCGACATTTTCACTGTCATTATCGTAGTGCTCGTGGTCGATTGGTTAATGAGCACGCTTTTATCGTCTTTCAAGGATCAATGATGTGGGTTCTATTCCAGCTAAAAGTTAATTTTATTTTCCTTGTTATTTTTCTTATTTTTTTTTTTGTTTTTTGTCATAAAATATAAATATCCGGCTATAAAAGAAGCAAATGAGTTGGTAAATAAAACAATACTATTTTTTATTACAATTAATTTATTTATTATACAAATATGTTGTTTTATATTCAATATTTATATCTAATAATTAATTATATACCACATGTTAAGTTTAAAGTTCTTTAAATCATAATTAATAGATATGACAATAAACCTCATAGTCGAATCGGGAAATATCATGCGGTACAGCGGTAATACGATGGCAGCAACATTTTTTATTAAGTAGGTAATAAACAAATATACAACATTCTTGTTTTATAATTTAATAATATAATGTATTATTAAATTACAGTTTTACAGTAATAAACAAGTAAAACATGTAAAAAATTACACTGTCAACATAATATTTCTTGAAATGGGCGACTTTTTGTCGTTTGAACTTCCATTAATTATCTATTCTACGACGGTTGTTATAAGGTTCAATATTCAGTGGGCTTTATGATAGTAAAAAGAATGTGACGAATGCTATGGAACGATTTTAACTTTCATGACCTTTAGAATCAGGGAAACTTTAAATTAATTGAAGATGGGCGTAAATATAATAATTATGTCAATCAAGTTCGAAAGCAGTTAAATAAATTTGTTAATGAAAAATTAAAGTGAAGTGAATAAACATGTTGAATAGAAAGAAATTATGACAATTTCTAACCACAAAACAATAACATCACTTCACCGTATGTTATAGACAGCATTTAATATTCTTAAAAAATTAACATTATTATGTTAATTTTAATAAAGGCAGAGTTTGACAGGCTCAATAATTGATTCCGAAATCAATACAATCACTGATCCTACAAGGCAGAAGGTTGCAATTCGTATACCTTTCTCCATCTTTTCTTCACAATATTTTACGCCCATCCTTATCCGACTTGAAAGTCTTTTCGTCGCTCAATATGATTACACTGTTCGCCCAATCAAAATTAATAAAGTCCTTAGCAAATTCTTAGCGCTTTTGCTGGTGAACACAGATAAACTTTATTTTCTCTTGGCTTCCTGCACCTAAACCAGAATGCAGGTGTCTCCGTACAGTTTGTATTAAAAACATTCAGTGCTGTCGCTGTAGTGCGGGTTGGCAGGAACGGATCAGCCATGTGCTGGCTACGATGTCGTAGTGCGAGCGATGAATTTGCCTTTGGTTTAGGCCCACGTCGACGATGTTTAACGTCACGGTCTCCGCATATCTGTGCACCATAACTGCTGGATTCTCTGTTGATACCAAACAAATAAGTATTTAAAATACAGGAAATACTTTACAGGTTAAAGTTACTTAAAAATAAATAATAAATATAAGTAAACACAATGTTAGAATAATAATTTATAATTAAGTAGTGGCGTAAGGAATAAAAATCCCTAACCAGATATGTTTTAAAGAAACACTCCTAACAAAAACAAGTCAAGTTACAATACAATTAATAATAAATTATTAATATATCTTTATAATATTGAACTTCATAATAAGTTGCAATAATTATTTTATTCTAGTGCAAAAATTGATAGGTGTGTCGAGTTACAAAATGAAATAAATATTATTTAGAATATCAACGTAGTATCTTATTTACTCACCGATATCATTAAACGCCTTGCTATTTCAGTTATTGTTAGTTATGTTTTGCTCATGCAAAACAATGGTTTCAGCCTTTTTAAATGTTGATAGGTGTTGGAACATCTTGTAAAAATAAAAATAACTTTGCACACGAATATAAGTAGTGTAGCAATAAACTATGAAATCCTCATAAATTGACAACTAAGAACGCAATTATTTTGTAAGTCGGGTGATTTGAAAAACATGTTTTAAATAGTCGGTAGTTACTTCATAAGCGTGTAAAATAAAATGACTCGAGATTTCTATGGTCGCCACAAACATTGCAAATATACTCAGGTATCGAACCATTAAGAAATCACAGTTAATTACTTTTTTACTGTTTTTATCTTATTTAAGTTGGTTGAAATGCATGAAGCAAATGAGATTATTCTAAATAATAAATAACTAGAACTAAAATATAAATAAAAGATATTATAGGTATAAATAAATCTAAAGTATTTACTATTAAAATTAACATAAGATTTAGAACAATAGGAAAGGAAAAAAAAGAAAAGATTTAATTGTTTCTAATTTCAAATTTCAAATATTTGATAAATTAATTCTAAAACAACATGTGAATGTTGGAATCGATCCGGCGGCACTTTACTTGACAATTGGAGGCGATAACCATTGCGCCAAGCGCGCTGTAGATGAGATCATCGAAATATTTTATATCATTCAGTAACATAAAATTACAATGAGAAAGCACTATATTTATATGGGTATTGTATAGCTCGATCGTTCATTATTTTTGATTTCGATTTATTCAAAGTTTGTTATGAGTAATTTTATCTTTACCCTCGTTTTTATTTAAACTTATTTACTAAATTATTGCGTATACCGACACAAAAATGATTTTTAAATACCAAGATGTGTGTGATAGACGAATGTTTCTATACATATCTATTGATATGAAATTACCCACACATGTATATTGTGTAAATGATAGTTGTGTCGATGTGTAGCGCCGCTAACTAATTAGCGGTGCTTTGTGTACATAAAAGATGTAAATTGTACGCCCACTTGGAAAACTTTAAGGAAAATGGGATAAGATAACCCACGCATTAATAATCAAGCACGCGTCTATATAATAGGGCCAGCTATATTACTTAGTAACAAGCAATTTTATCTGTTAATTCATTAGCTTTAAAGGCGAATATCGTGCTAATGACCAATTTTAGTGCGAATATCAAACTATAAAGTATATCCCCTCTTCGTCCGTTATGTTGATAGTTGTATGACTTTCATAGGATGTTGATGATACGTTGTTGTTATTAAAAAGTATGCTATTTTACTGAGAAAATGAAAATATTGAACAAATTTGGTTGACTCGAGAATCGAACTCGATACGTTATGTTCAATAGTTACACTTACATTATAACAAAGATAAAATAGGAATCAAGAACCAGTTAAAACCGAAGTCTTTATTTACGTTCATCCCTTTCAGCTATTTCAGGAGCATGAGTAAAAAATTGAATCCTTCTAATGACATGGGGACCGTGTGGGGTGAGGCGAGGCGAGCGTCGCGCTAAGAATAAAGCTAAGCGAACTTGTTTAGCAACTTACTGTTCGATTTATCGTCATCTCCGCCACTGCTTTTACCATCAGATTTCTTTTGTCTCTTTTTGCGACATTCTTTTTTGTCTTGAATCATACCTAACTCCAGTAATCTGTCGACGAAGCTACGCTTTTGACGCTTGCGAGGCATACGCGGCATTATTACGCCCATTGGATCTGAAAGAACTCCGCCTTTTATAACTACTGCCGTATAAATGGAAAATCTTTGGAGCGAAAAATAATTAGAAAAAAGTTGTCAGAAAAGGAGTATGAATAAAACTCATTTTATGATTATATGTGGGTACCACTTACCGGGTGCATCTTTGAATTGTTCCCACAGCTCGGTGAGCATTTGGTCTTCCTCCTCGGTGAACGTTTTAGGTACTTTCTCACTGCCCGGCTCTTTGTGACTGCGCTTGGTCGGTGCTCGGAATATCAGTCCTAATTCCTTCAACTTCTTTATCACGCCACGTCTAGTCCGCGTCTGATCAATCAAGTTCTCCAAAATCCAATCGATTACATCTACGGTAAAGAAAACGTAAATATTCCAACATTTATGGTACAACGTTGTATCTTCCGCGGGTTGAATCCTTACGGAGTCGTTTGTGGTACTAATGCATATGTTAAACGAGCTACCGCAAATATACAGTTTATGCACACATTAGTCGGACTTCTAACGCGAGCCTTTGAGGGATCCACGAGTGTGGTAACAACTAACTAACATGTTTTATGAAAGTGTTTCATTAACACTACTGACTCATTATTGCGGTGGAAATAGTGTTATACTTTTTATAAAGTTGTAAGTTTGCGGAGCGTTGTTAGTTAAAGTGTGTAGTGAGGACAACAAACATAACTTTGTCGGGACGGGTTGTTACGCTCGCACGTATAATTACGGTACTAGCTAATTATGCTGAACCTTTATTCTAATTATCACGCTTTCAAAAATCCCAGACTGCGGCAAATTTTAACAAGTTGTTTGTTGTTACAGGCCGAGTTACACGCAAATATATTTTTGGAAGTTTCTATTTACTTTCCTGAACGAATACGGGTGTAACTAGAATTTAATTTAGATGGGGCGGTGTTCTGAATCTTGGTAAACGTTTGTGTGTAAATATTTATACCCAACTACCTATACTTATGTATTTAACTAATGTGTTTAAATAAATATACTTTGCTATCTATTTTATATGTGTATGTGTGACTTACACATATGTGGTCTAACCCAGTGTGATAGATCATTCACTTGGAACGATTTGGATGCATTTATGATCATCAAAACGATGATCGTGATCTATGGTCGGTTGCTAATGATATTAAAATGTTATTAGTTCATTTAAATTTCTCACTCACCCTGATCAGTTTCTGGATTGCTTTGGTTCTCCATGTATAGCCTGCGGAGTTCTTCCTCTTGCTCCTCGGACCAAACTCCTTTACCGGGTTTGTCTCTGTTTGAAATCATAAGAAAATTATCACCAGTTTTTTAATCGGACCAAGTATTGAAAGAGATTTCCTGTTAAACGATAGAACACCAATTGCATCTTCAACTTTTCCGTACCTTTTCGTTGATATTATGTGAAATAAATATAGGCAAATATCAAAATGTGAAAAAAGAACAACAAAATATCTAAAATGTAACAGAGTAGTGTCAGCCAGTATTTCAGTCGACGGCTGGTGCTATCTCAGAATACATTAAACAAAGTTACAGGTGTACTTGCATATTCTAACATCTCTGTACATATCTCCTACAAAAAATTTTGCCACCGAATAAAATTTTTAGAATTAGGTCAAACAAATTGTATTTAAACCAAAAAGTTTGTTCACACTGAATTCCAAACACAATTATGAAACAAAAGGTTTGTTGTGAACGTGCAATACAAATTATAAATTACATAACATGTGTCTGTATTTCTGTATTTAGGGGTAACCAGGGTTGTATATTACATTATAGTTGTTATGGGCACATTTAAGCAATAATTTTGGCGAAGCACGGGACCCCATGCTGTGCAGTGGGCTTTCAACCGCTAAGTCAATGGGACCGTAATATTTATGTACCTATTACTGTCCTATAAAAGCCATTATTACAATCTAACTCAATAACCCATAGAAAAGCTATTTATTTGTATAAAATATCTGAAAAGATTGCGTAAACTTTTGTGTATCAGAAACCCTTTTGTTCGTATATGAAGTGTAACCAACAAAATGTTTAATAAAGCCAGCATCGTGTTTTCAATTAACCCCGTTTATACTGTATAATACTGCGTAGGTAGTATAATTGTTCTAAAAGCGGATTTGACCTCTTTGATAATCAATCATAGTTTAGAGACGCGACCTATATCAACATTATCTTGTCCAATTAACGCCCTCAAACGTTTAGAAACTGTGGACAAAGATTGATGATAGCGAATGTGAAAATGCTGTAACAAGAGGTTATTCACCTTACGCAGCGAAATGTCCGTATGAGATGGGTCAATATCGTGATTAATTGGGTCAATTACATTTGCTACAATTACTTGGCTCATCCAGAGACATTTAAACTTATTTTTAAATGATGTATAAAAATTATAATATTTCTAAAATAAATTCAGTTATAAACTTACCTGTTATCAGTGTATAAATCATATCCATATTCAATATCCAGAGAATCTTTCGAATTTTTCCAGAACAAAAGCTCAATAAACACTTTAGGATTCTTCGAAGCAACTTCTGTGAACTTCCTCAATATGTATATAGCGAACTTTTCCAATTCCTGTTAAGAGAAACAGCAGTATTTCTACAGATGTTCTAAATTAAACAAGTAAGAGTTTACAAATAAAAAAATCCAATTTATTAAATAGCTACACCCGGAAAGATTGCATTTAATTTCAAAAGTATAAATTATATTATTCCTCGAGTGCGAGTAAAGTAATAAATAGCAAGATACCATTCCATTTTATTTTACGTGCAGTACTTAAAATTCCCCGCCATTTTTATTTACATTTCAATTTAGGGATGGCGGTAACATTGCGACAAACATTTTATTACTCAGTTGCTGATAGGAATCAAATTTTGCGCCAGGTTAATTTAGATTCTCGATACATTTGGTATGTACGCGACACCCCTGTGCGTCGATAAAATCTGTCCCCTGCCCCTCCACACGTCGTATGCACGACAGAGAAAAAAGCTTAAATTTGGTCACACGTGTGTCGTAATATGGGAAAAATATCAGGCTATAAAAACCAGTTGAAATTACCAGAGGGAGCGTTGCATTATTTTTACATAATCCTATTTTCTAGTCGTGTATTTAGTTCATATGTCACTAAAGTCCAATCTTGGAACTGGAGTAAATATTAAATATTTTTTTATAAAATTTTGGTCCTTACTACACAGATAAGGTTTGCAATTTACGTTATTCGACGAAAATAATTATTTATACATATATTTACTTGCACTTCTATGCGTAAGCGTATGCGCTTGTCCAATAGTCATTTTAATCAAAAAAGTCTATTACACACAGTCAAGCAGATGGTTTAATGCACTAACAATACAGTCTATAAACAAAGCTTGATGTATTCGTCTCAAAAATAGAATGACAAGTTGATGTCTCATCGATCTTAGCATAAGCCGCCTCTCTTTGAAGGCCTTAATCACCTAAGTAGGCGTTATTTGTTCCCTCTGTTATATTAACTTAGTTGTGTGCTACTGTTATATTGAACGTGGGACGATAATATTGTTTTATCGTTTCGCTTATTATACAAATTCCTTGTAACACAAATAGACATTTTGATTGAGATGCTCATTTTTATTTGAGGAATGTAGGAAAATTACGTAAGAAGAATAAACAAAAAAGAAAAAAGGTGTTAAAATAGGATGGTAGACAAAAGGATACAGGATATGTATTGTGCATTAAAGCTTTTGTGTACGAGAGAGATAGAAAGAATTTCCCGCCAATACTCCACTTTGCTTTAAACCTTTAAAATATTAACGACAGCCTCATTTTACTACCAATTTCGAAGCGGTTTTAATGAAATTGTTACTTTTTAATGATCTTTGTTTATGGGTGTAAAATAATGCGTAAAAACTAATTATGGTATTTACATAATCATGAACATCATTACCCGACTTCTTTAGGACCCCGTGGTCATACGTTCAGACTGCAAACATGATGTCTACATAGAAACACCAGAACAAACATAATATTGTAACATATAACAACAAACAACAGCACATATAACATAATATTTATTTTTGCCGTATTGCTATGAGACATGGTTTTGGTCGTGATCTCTCGTACTATAAGGGTTAACCTGGTCGCCGTCAAACATTTAGTAGCGCAACCAAGTAGTCACCAGGTGATGTCCTCCTGGTGATATACAACAGTTGTATGGCATTCTGTTGGTTGGCGCGACACTCGTAAGACCCTACGGTCATACATGGACACCATTGTCCTTAAAATAGGGATCTGTTTTCTTTATACTTTACGCCTTGTCATAGTGACAGGGTAATGGTTGATAAATAAAATTGTTATAGGTATTTATAGGAATGACGCAACGAATGTTAACTTGGACTTCTGCCAACTAACATATTACCAACAGGGGAAGCGGATAGACAGTCATATTTTTTTCTTATTTACGAAAGTCGTTATACCTACTATAAATCATTGATAGATATTATTGTTCCTGAATAATTTTTAAATAAAAATTTGCCATAAGTCGACTTATTCATAGTAACTCATTTATAGCCCATAAACGGAATGTACCTGCGAGACTTCCGAGAATATATTAACCAACTACCTATTATTGTGAAAATGTATATGACTGACGAAGCAGTTTAATATTAGACTGCAAAACTACTGCACCAGTTTTAACAAGTTTGTTCCTGAGATGGATACGTGATCATTAACTTTTTACGATCGAAGTTACACATAAAGACGAAAATATTTTTATATTTTCCCCCTGCGAAAATGGGCAAAAAACAAACAACAAAGTGCTTAAAAAAAGAAAACATGGCACAAAGTCTTACCTTGAACTGGGGTACTCGATTGTCGAGTATCTTTTGAAATATGAGGAAGAGCGACGCCTGGAACATCATGCTAGGCCGCTTACAGTCCCAAGCGATTCTATGCAACATCTTAGCTATGCAGTGGTTAGTGTGTGGCAGGTTTTTGTCATAGTTCTCCAAGAGAGTCACGCACGCACTTACCACTCGCGGGTGACAGAATCTGAATAAAATACATTAGGAAATTAATTTACGTTATTTTTCGTTATACTTATGAAAGATATTTAACCTTTTCGCCGCCCAGCTATACTAAACACGATGTGTCGCCGTACGCCAACGTATAAATGTATAATAAATGTATAGTACGAAAGTAGGGATGGCGGTAACATCATGTCGATAATGAAAAAAAATATGTGTAAATTTAAATTGGTACTCAAATTTACAATTAAAAATACAAACTGTTAAGTTATAATGGTAATTTGTTTTATTTTATGAACATTTATACTAAGAAAAATGGGTATCCGTTATCAGAGATGAAGATACATGCATAGAGTTGCTAGAGATAATAATAATAATTCGTAACATTAGCCACTTCACTATTCATTTCATAACGTAGTCTTTTACTTCATATCAAGTCATTGGCGTTCAAAGCACGATACATTTCGTAAGGAATAGTTGTCTATGCTTTTCTTTCTTTCTATCGAGTTTGGTTTGCTTTTGGTTTTAGTTTACATTTAAAATCTAACGTCAGGTCACGATCAGGAACATTGTTTGTAGTGATTAAAAGTGGCAACATATGTGTAGTTTTGGAAATGGATGGTAAGTAACTATTTTAATACAGATGTACTAAACTTTAATAGCTTATTTTTCATTTAATGCAAATGAAAAACTGGCACGTTTGATGGATATTAGGTAGTCATAAAATACCTATTCGTTGCGGCTCTCGGTTTCGCAAACTTTTAGCTGTGTCGGCGAACAAATATAGACCTGAGTCGATCACAAATTTTTCGCGACCCAAACAGTTTGTAATCGAATCAAAATGACTCAATCATTTGGATATTTCATAATCATGAAAATAATTATAGGTATAGGCCGTGCGATTAATCGATTAAGTGCGATTGCGTGCGTGCACGCGTCGCCCGGAACTATGACACAATGACCTTGACGCCTAAGCGCTTACGACGTCACAGGTTTACTTCTATTGAAGTTGACGGCGCTAGTGTCACTCGACATCTTGCCATTACGTAGAGATGGGTCTAGCAATATCGAAAACCCTCAGTACATAATAATTAATTTTAATGAAATGATTTGATAGGTAGATGTACATTAATTTTGAAACGCATTGTAATACGTTATTTACTGACCGGAATTTTTTTTATTCATAGAATTCAAAAAACTATTGGATGGAAAAGAAAACAAATATTATAGTAAATAAAGATTCTAATGAATGCTCCTTACGCGTCACATCACTGGCCTACTTGATATGAAGTCGTTGGCGTGCGGGATATAAAATTATTTAAAACCTTTTATGTTTTACCTTTTTAAAACAGAAAATAGTCTGTTTTGCATGAGAAAAAATAGTTCGTCGTGTCCATATTACAAAATTACAAAGAAACAAATGTTTTATGTATCGTAAATGTATTTTTTATAGTAGGTAGATACAATGAACTTCTATAGAAGTAGTGGCGTGGACGGCACGAAAATCCTGAACTTCTATAGAAGTTGTTGGCGGCGAAAAGGTTAATACGGTGCATTCGTTGTCGTCATTTATTATGATTATTTTATGGGATAAGCCGGTAAACGAGCAGTCGGATCACCTGGTGGTAAGCAATCGGCGTCGCCCCTGGACGCCCGGAACACCAGAGGCGCACTTATAGTGCGTTACCGACCTTTTGGGGATTACGAATTTGAGGATTATTGGGAATTCAGGGATTGGATAGGAGAGGGATAATTGGGCCTCCAGTAACACCTTACTCATACGAGCAAATACAATGCAAGCATTGTTTCACGTCGGTAATCTGTGAGGCTGTGGTATCACTCCGGTCGGGCCGGCCCATTCGTGCCGAAGCATGGCTCTCCCACACTTAGATTTATAATAGTCTTAAACTTCCCTAAAAGCAAAGTGTGATTCTTCGATTCTTGTCACAAAGTATTTTTTAGTTACAACGAGACATTATTTCCACACATTATAACACTAGTATAAAAATTGTTCTCTTACATAGATTGCACAATATATGGAGAATTAAAATGCCAGTTAATAAGTGAAGTTCTTAACATTATAATAGATATTATTTTCTACAAAAAAGAAAAAGCACCCTTAAGCCACATACAATAAGGCGCTACTTTCCATTATAAATGTGAAATCTTATTTCATGGAATCGGTCTACAGTAATGCCACAGATGCGACGCTCGTCTAGCTTTCTAAGAAGGTATTACTTGCTTTTCTTTATACCGCATCATACGTGGCTTACAGAAGAGTTTCTATATTATTTCTAGAAAAGTAAAAGGATTTCGCGCTGTTATTTCTTCGAAGAATGTAATGGAAAGCTTTGCTCACCTGTTCACAAAGTCTTTGAAGTCAAAGTCGGTTTCAACGACAGCTGTAGACCTTTCTTCTTCATCTTCTTCGTCTAAAAAGAGTAAAAAGGTGTGATAGACTGGACGTGTAAAGAAGAATTTAATCAATATAGGTATCTACAAAATGAAATACAAAATGTATCAAAATTGTATATAAAAATAAACATGGTTCCTACCTTCTTCATCATACTCCGAATTTTGAGTTTCATTTAAATCGTCGGCATTCTCTGTAAAAAAAAAACAAGATTAAATGAAAGAAAAAAAAAGCGAAAAGAAATATTTGTTTTTAAGTAGATGTTGAAGTATAATTAAAAGAGACGCTTTGAGTATTGTTAAGTGAAGCTCAAGTTACTATGGCGGTTACTTTTTGACGTGTATTTAAGTTGAGTAGGTACTTTCCTCGAATTAGCGTCCATGATATTTCAAGTTAAAAGTTTTTATGAGGCAAAGTGATCTTGACAGGGCCGCGAAGACGGTAAATACACTTGATTAGTTTTGTTTAGTTTCGTTCCTAGACTAAACACCATTTAGTCTAGTCTGAGACATTTAGAACCAATAGTTTACGTAACTGTGATTAGTTAGTCTAAATAATTAATTCCTTGCTGTTTATATTATTTATTCCTACCTACTTCATTTAGGTATTCAGAAATGAGTTAGTATTTAAACTTCAGTAATACTTAAACATACTGTAGGTAATTTGGAATATCTATGTTCAAGTACCTATAAAAAAAGCAGACATAGTCTCTTGAAACGACGACTGTGGCACCTGGCTACTATAGACTTACACACACTTTGACACGAAGGACATCTGTCGCGTGCCATGGCCCGTCATTCCACTTCATACGTTACGGTGTTGACATTTTGGTGCTTTATTCATTTAAAAGTGACATTACGTCCGCCTTTTTTGAACGACCTTGCCTAGGTTAAACATATTGAAAATTACGTAACTACGCTATTGAATTGATTTGGTTAAAGATATGTAGGTATACATTACAAAACTAAAAAAAATGAATAATATTTCACAAATCAGGAAACGCGTCGATAAATTTAGACAATATGTTACGTGAACGTGTATGCACAATTAGTTTACGTTTAGTAACGCCTCTTGGTGGTCCAGGTGCCCATAGGCGACGCCGATTGTTTACCATCAGATGATCCGTCTGCTCGTTAACCGGCTTATGCCATCAAAAAATTACAAAAATAATAATATTCCAACTTACCAGTCGTCTCTACTTCTAATTCAGCGTTGTAAACAGTTTCAAGCATCGTCAGCTCTTCATCATCCGTTATACCAGCTGTACCGAATATACCTTCGTCAGGCCATACTTCCCTGGTACATAAATATTTTATTTACAATAATATACATAGTTTGAGCTGCAAACCACACAGGAAATATTGTATGAGCAAATAGCTTGTATTTAACGTAAATAGTAACTAATTTGTAAACATTATATTTATGTTTATAAATTCAACCGGTATTTAACTACATGTAACGTAAATATACCATTAAAATGTAATGCTTTTTGAATGTTATTATGTCTTCAACGTGCTTATGTCACGAAACTTCGCTAAAGGGTTAAGTAAGTCATTTGATTATTTGTGTACTGTAGATCTTGTATAAAACATTGTGATTTTGTTGTAAAAAAAATACGGTACAAACCTCGCAGCTCTGAACATGCCAACCGCTTCTTCAAATTTGTAATCCTTCATCAATTTCTGTATGTTTTTCATGCAATGCTCTCTAAAACAAACATTAATGTAATAATACTATAAATCCAAACAAAATTTTCATCAAACATATATTCGCCATGAATGTGCCAGTCGATTCATCAAGATCAATCTAAAATGAATCAGAATAAAAATAGCAACCGAATTCAATTTGCGCAATACATATATTCAAAAATGTTTTTGGGAATCAACATTTCGACGAGCATAACAATTGTAGGGAGAATAGAAGCAATAAAAATAAAAGTGACATACTTTTGTTGGTCGATGGGCACGTCGGACGCGGCGTCGAAGGGCGGCGGATGTTCCTCGACGCCCGAACTGAGGACCGCGGCAAGCTGCGCCCTCACCTCCTCCCAAACCGCCGGGGACGCAACCTTAGGCTTTTGTACAACCGCCTTTTGTTCTGAACCACAATATTAATTAGCTCTCCGTCCTTTTATCACATCTGACCGTAAATTACTTTTAAAAGTAGTTATACGATTTAAGCTTTGTACGGAAATAAATGAGGGTCATTTGTGTTTGTTTTTTTGGGGTTGTTAACAGATAAGTAAAGGGATCTTATGGCTGTTTATCTCTTGTACGTACCCTGTGTAAATGGGGTTGTCGTGTCAAAGACCGTTATCAAATTCATCGCTCTATGTTTCTAGACTTGAGCCTACAGCGTATTTACCTAAATCTGTTTTTAATGAGCTTCATTTAGTACTAAATATTTAGTATTTTGAAGAGACAGGTACTCTGCTCAACGTGAATAAATTACTTAAAGCTTTTATCGTTAATATTGAGAGTAACGATTTGATTCTCTAGTTTAGGCGAGCCATTTGTATAGTCAACTTAAGACAAGTAAAAGAGTAAGTACCTTCTTAAAGAAATCTACATGAAAGTAGACTTTTAATCCTAAAAAAGGAGAAAATAGCTAACTTTTATAACTCAGCCCGATTCTTTTAATATGTCTAGTTTACTATACAAACATTGAAATGTTATGGTGCTAGTTAATAGCTAACAAGGTTTTTTTGACGAAATCTATGGTTAACATATTGCTAAAATTTCGTTTTATTTGATTTTATTTCTTTTAGTTAATATAAGCATTAGGTATATTGGCTATATACCTACGTTATGTGTGTATGTGTGTAGATATTAATAAATCAGTGTGATATTAGACAGAACCGATTACGATGCTAAGTACTTGTACGTTGGGCTCGCTGTCATTGCAGCGGTAAGTCCCCTCTTTGAGGAGTGGCTTGAGAGACGCTACGGCGTCCTCACCTACCGCCTGACGCAGGTGCTTACCGGACACGGAAGTTTCGGTAGGTTCCTGTTTCGGATTGGGCGGGAGGAAACGCCCGGGTGTCATCACTGCGAGGATCGCCCGGAGGACACGGTGGAGCATACGGTGGCGGTGTGTCCTGCGTGGACTGAGCACCGCCGTGTCCTCAGGAATGTGATCGGCGACGGCGACCTCTCGCGTCCGGCTCTGGTTCAGACCATGGTACGGAGCGAGGGGGACTGGGATGCCGTCTCCTCCTTCTGCGAAGCAGTCATGCTAGCTAAGGAGGAGGCGGAGCGCGTGAGGGAACGAACCTCCTCACGACCCGGCCGTCGCGAGAGACACACCGGGCGTCGGGGATCGCGAGACGATCTCCGGCCACCGTAAGCACGGGTCTGCGGACGGCGAGCATGGGTGACTCGCCGCCCGACCAGAACCAGGCCCGTGCGTACGGCGCGTCGCGTTCCGCGCGCGCCTCAAGGAGCCATCAGACCACCACAGATGGGGCCTAACAAGGCTGATGCCGATACGGAGCCGCGGAAGACTTAACGGGTTGCCGGGGCTCCGGTTCGAAGTGCAGGTGTAGGAACGGGGTGGTTTTTAGTCAGTAAGAGTCTGACACTCCCTCCCGCCTCACCCAGGCGGGAGAAGTCATTGGATGATTTTCCCCCCTCAAAAAAAAAAAAAAAAAAAGTACTTGTACGTAGATTATTATTATGCACTGAGCCAGCAGTTGTGCTCATCATAATATACGGCACCACCTATCGTTGTTACCGGTGCATTACACACATTAGAAATTTATCACTTAATGGCTTGGATATTTTGAAATTTATATCAAGCGCTTAATGGGATGAAGTGATGACGCTTTGAGATAGAGCAGACTTATCAGTAGTAGGTATCTACATTTTGTTCATACATCATTGAGTAGTAAGGCAATAAAACGTTATATGCCTAGACGGATCTTACGACATAACTGAAACCATTGCACAGTGGAAGAGAGCGATCAAAACGTCCTAAATAGAAAGTATAAACAAATCATTATATTGTTAGCTATAGTCTGCTTAGTTAAGACTGTTCGAAGGTGCTAGAGTCTAGCACTGTACTAGACTAGTTATAAAAAGTAAAACCAATATTTATGAGGCCAAGTGTGTCTCGAAACTAGACGAGTACTCTCGAAAAATTTACGTGAGTAACCCATTCATATTTTAAATTAATAACATTTATTTTAAAGCAGAAATACATCAAAGAAAACTTACTCTTTGGTTTCGATTTGGCCTTTTTTCTCACTTTCTTTTGAACAACTAAGCCAGTTTTCTTGCAGTAATGTTCTAACATTTTTAGGAACAAGTGCACTGTTTCCATTAAATCCACTAGGTAAGACCTTAAAAATAAAGTAAAAGATTTAATTCACATTTAGAAACCATTAAATAACTAAAAAATAATAGCATTATTACTATTTATAATAACGAACCTCGGCATTTTATTTTCGTCGTAATTCAAAACCGTTGCTATGATAAATTCCCTATATTCTAAGACATAAAAAATGTTGCTTTTTAAAACTTTTGCGGATTCTTTGACGGTGGAATCAGTACTTTTGTCCATGGCCAGTAGAGTATTTAACAACTCCTTGTAAGCTCTTAGAGCTAAGTGTAGCCTTCTCACCCAGGCCGTAAACTTTTTCTTTTCAACTTTTATCATGTCATAGTACTTCTCCATTTGCTGCTGTACATAGTGGAACATTGGTACTGACATTGTTTCACTGAAATAGTTGAATTTTTAATATATCTGATGTTTTAAAATAACATAAAGCATATGTATATAAAAAATATACCTTTCCTTTCAAAGAGGTCGAGGTCAAATTAAAAATGTAAAAGTTTTTAAATTTAAGATTTAAATGAAGCCACACTTTACAGTCTTTTTTACATTAAAAATGATGACAATAATATTATTTTTACTTTTATTAATACATTAACAGAAATAGATTTTTCTGTACATTGTAAATTTAATCTTACCTTACTAATCCAACCTGGAAGTTATGTCCTCTGTTGAATTCCATGAAGAACTTCACGGCCCACAAGTAATATGACTCATCATTTTGTTGGGCTTTAGCTCTCACTAATACATCTTTTACATAATGCATCAACGGATTGTAGGAACTGTTTAAGAATTCTATGCAAAACTCTTTTAGGAATAACCTGATCAAAGAATATAGAACTTTAGTTAATAAATGTTGACAGGACAATGTTGCAATAAGTAACTTAATTATGTCTAATGAGAGTTTCATCAAGGATAGAATATCAAGGCAAAGCTTAATAATTCAATAAAAACAATTTATGTTCATGAAAAAACTCCACTTAATTTTTCTTTCACTTACCTAATTGCAAATGCAGATCTCCTTTCTAAGATACCACTTTCAACAGGCCTTCTATTTTTAGGTTTAACAAATTTAGATTTTTTACTGCCAGCATTAAAGTCTAAATTAGATATTTTGTTCAATGGTTTCAAGCAGATGATTTCGTTGTCTGATAATGATTTCATGTTTTGTACTACATAAGTGCCTCCAAAGCGGGAATGCCTAAAGAAAAATATTTGTATTAAATAGTTTATCATCATTTTATTATATATCCATCTTTTATAGTTGTTTATATTTATTACCTTGTACCAGAATATTGCTTAATTTTGTTAATCCTTTGTTTACTTTCCGACATTCTAATTGAAAGTAATTCTTGGTCATCTCGGAGTTTCTCATCAACACTCCGCTGTAGAGCAGCATCAGCCAGACTACTAGGGTTTTGTTCCCTTAACAACTGAGATATGATCTCTAGGATGTGCATAAAATATTGCTTTTCGTTTTCCGATGACATGTACAGAATTATATCTAGGATACCTGACTGATTTAGTCCCCATAAAACCTAAAATTAAAAAGATTGTAGCTTTACCTATATAATAAATGAATTAATACTAGTTGATATCAAATTCTGTTTAAATGAAATTCTTGTGTTACATATCATAAGGTGAACTTTGCTACAAAGCAATATACAAAATTAATTTTATAGTATTTTTATTTTAAAGTATTTTGATCTAACTGTGTGGGTGGAAGGATCATTCAAACACACTAGTGATTATTCATATTTTAACAGAAAAAACTAGTAATTTTAGTAATTCATAGTCATTATAAATAGTAAGTACTAAGATCCTGACCTGGTCATGAACACTGGCATCATTCTCCGGTCTCCTCTCTTTATCTAAGTCAGCAGGAACATGTAGTACATTTCTAATTAGGATCAAAATCCTCTCAATTATAAGTCCTGTGTCTTCATCTCTTTCTGTCCAATCCTAACACAGAAAATAAACAAAATTATCTTATTCCATTTAAATCTGAATTCTTTTGCATTCATATTAGAACATGTAATGACTAATATACTGGATTGCAAAGAAAATACTTACAATTTCTAAAACTTTAGCTAATTTCTTCGCAAAAATGTTCCATGTTTCAACTTTGGTAAATGCTTCCTCTTTGTAAGCTTGTAAATGTGATAAGATCTGTAGATAATTATGTCTTGCCGTCCTTTCTACAGGTACTTCTTCTCGGTACAACAGTAATGCTGGGTTTGTAAGGTTAACTAGTAGTCTACAACAGGAAATAGTACAGTTACTTAACATTAAACTGTTTTTTTTTTACTTAAGGTTATTGGAGTTAGAAAATGGAGCCACAAAGACTCTCAAGGTTTTTAATCCGTGAATAAGGGATTCAATTACGACAATAGGTGCTATTATAAGTGTATAATAATATTACCTGAGTGTAACATCAAATAGTTCTGTATTCTCCCAGTGGTCAATCAACATGGGAATAAGATCTGTTTGCAACACCTTTGTTTGACCAAAATGCCGACGAATTTCATGATCCTCGCCATCACGACGTAAATAACGAATTAAATCTTTCACAGTATTAAGGGTAAAATCGTCAATTAAGTATTTGCCGGTTTTTTTATCGAACGTTCCTAAAGCATTGCATGTTGCCGATAATTCCGCTGATAATAGCGAAGTCATTGTTAAAATCTATACACAATACATAGAAAACACTAGACAATTAACTTTTCTATTTGATTTCATTCAATAATCATTCTTTAATTTATTTTATTAATATTTTAGTCACTTTGTACAACATTTAGCAGACAACACAACTTTGTTTTGACATTGACGTTTGCACTACGTCAAAAAGCCCGCGAAGTCCTGATGTTTCGTTCGGAAATGTTGTCAAAATTATAGAAATAATATTTTTTAGAGCAATGATCTGTTTAGGGAGTGCTTTGAGTTCATATTATTTCAAAGTGGATAGTGTGTATTTTTCAATTTGCAGAAATTTTATTTGCTCTCAGATGGTTTCAATATTTTCGACTATATTACCACATAACATTACATAACATCACGCCTTTTTATCCCCGAAGGGTTAGGCGGAGGTGCACATTATGGTACTTAATGCAATGTAACACCCACATTTCACTATTTATGTTATGAGTCCCATGTAATAATGTAATAGGGGGTGAGCCTATTGCCATATACTGGGCACGTTACAGACTCCGTGTTACTACTGACATTTTTTTTAAAACCCAGTAATACTTTGTCCGACTCGGGAATCGAACCCGACTACCTCTTGCCCGGCAGTCACTCTTGCGACCACTCGGCCAACAAGGCAGTCCATATATTACCATTTAAACAAGTTGAATTTATACGATACGATTGACAGAGAAGTACCTATGTAAGACGCCGCTAAGATAATACCAACAGCTAAGTACTTAACTGCTTTGTTTTCATTTTAAACATACCTACGACCATTAAATCATTGATTATCTTAATTGTACATTACTTCGTCTCTGTTTCAATAAAAACCAAGACGTCACAGTCTATACTGTACTGGACAATAGGCCTCCTCTACATGCGGGTTGGGTTACCGCAGCAAAGTAATTTAGCCTTTAAGTGGTATGATGCACAACTTAGACCTTATCATCATCATTGCTGTGCAGCTCAAACATAATCTAAGATATTCTTATAAAACTCAGATAAACTTAAAAGGATCTTGCGGTTCCCACTGAAAACGTTTTAACAGTTTAATTATTTTAACTCGTCGAGTACCGGTTTTATAGACACAATTAAAGAACAATAGGTTGCGGTCACCGGTGACCGCTTGGTGTTTGACAATTTAAGTACCAAAGTTCCAATAAGTACTACCTAAACCTAAATGTTTGACAAGTAGTTCGGTCGACAGGTCCTAGTTCGTCTTCTTGAAGACACACACTAACGATTCATTTACTTAATGGCTCCTACAGACAATAGCGGTTAACGTGGGCACGCTGATAGATTACTAACTACTTTGAAATGTGGTTTTGTGAACCGTCAGTGCAGGTACCTGCCTAGAGGTGCTTAGGAGCGAAATGATGAAATGTATAGCGGTCTAACCTGTGGTTTACGTGAGTAGTGGGCAGATATCGATATCGTAGGTACACTATTCGTATTCAATCACTAAATAATTTTAGTATAGATATCGTTTGTTTAAGATCAGTCCATAATGTGATCCAGATTAGCTTACTATTACCTATCTAACGCCCGAATACTGGAAGGCTACTCAATTTTAAGTTGTAGGTACTTATTTATGTATATATCGTGCCACCTCTGTCATTTTACAAAGAAATTGTTGTGACAGAACTATTACTTAAGCGTGACTTAAAATGGAGTGCACGTGCAAATAAACGTTCTTATTCTTAATGGTGTTTGACTAGGTATGTATGTACATTACCTAGGTATAAGGGTATAATGCTAGTGGTACAGATGATTAATAGATCAAACGATTTAGGTTAGTCAGTTGGTTAGTTTGTTTTTAAAAATCTGAGCTGAGGATAAATGTCTCTCTAAATATTTAAGTATTTGAATCTAATTGACTTAGCACCTACCTAATGCTGTCCCAAACGTTGTTGGTTTTAAGTTTGCATAATAAGCGTAGAAAACCTTCATCCTAAAGATATGTACAATTTTCTGTATTAGTCACACACGTAGATTAGGTATCTACTAGTAGACCACAAAACGAGAAATGTTGTTCTTAAGAGCGGTTTTCGTAGTTCAAACAGATCTGTGCGAGTCTACTGACGAGCGGTTAACCACGATACCATCATAATCTCAGTTTGTAAAGCATCTGTCTACACAAAGCTAGGCAGGTCAATAACTGGGGAACATTAACATAAAATTCAATCGTTAACTATTTATCGTTAACTTATTTCTTAGTACAGGTATTAATAACACTATCATTCTACTCATGAATAGTACAAACAGTGTTAAATTTTCAATGTTTTATTTCAATGTTTTCTATTTGTGAATATTTTAAGTAGTTACTTATTTTATTTATGATTCAAATAGATTTCTATTTATCAATAAATAAGTGCATTGCATGGGTATGAAATAAAAACCGCTGTCAAACCCAAAACGTACCTGTTACTGACGTGGGACATGCGGTTCATCTATGAAAGTGGTTCCTGCTCGAAACAAATTAGTATCCATGTACCGACACAGGTACAAATATCTGTAAAGTTTGGAGTGGGGGACAACTCAGCAGGGGCCCGGACGGCTCTCAGCGCGTGCCGATTAGATCATATTGATCTACTTCCGCATTCATTTTGGCATGACCCACCCTCTTTTCAATAATAAAAGTAACGGCTCGTATTTTCAATATCTACCTACGCATTTTCTATTGAATATCTATCCCTATAAAAAGAAAATGTTTGCCTTTGTTGTTAAAAACATTAATTTCTCTTTATCCAAGGGCACTAGGCCCTCGTTCCTTTTACATAACCAAAGTAATCCAGTCCGAAATATTTTGTTTGAAAAGTTTGTTGATTCTTGTGACTCTTAGTTTATTTCAAGAGGGGAAGATGAGATGAATAAGTGTGCGATTAAGGAACAAAAGAATTACGCAGGAGGTCAAAGGGTTGGAGCTTTGGACGTTGGTATTTCATTTATATGTAGGTTGTTATAAAGGGTAACTTTCAATGACTTCCCAAAAAGTTGCTTACTTTGTCGCGAAAGTCGTCTACGGTTTCAGGGGGAATGTAATTAGTACCTATTTGTTTATAACTCGGATAAATTTTGATTTCGTATCGATATGAATAACGGTTAAGGAATTTTGATTAGTACCTACGTGGCAAATTACAAATACTTAGGCACTTATTTGCCTACTGTAGTTTGTGTAACTAGCAGACTGTTAGCTTTTATTACCCGAAGCGTACAGTTTGAAATATTGTTGAGGTGGAACAAAGCTCAGGGAATATATTTCCACTACCTACTCGTAGATACATGAAGCCACTAATTAAACAGTTCCTTTACCGATACATTTGTTAAAGTCGTACTCGCGTACCGGTAACCTGCTACAAATGAGAGGCACGGTACCCATATCTTAATTAATACTTGATACCCCCTTGTCATAAATTGCTTTGTAAGTAGTAAATGTATATTTTATAAGTATAAATAGAGGTTACTAGGAAACAATCTTATAAAAGCTGAGAGTAAACTTAAATTCATAAGTATCTACTGATGAATATTGAAGCATTGTAATGAGAGGATTTTGAGAAGCTGTCGGGGCGGTGTGTAAATGAGCAGGTACTTGAAAAAAATACGTGAACTAAGTTTAAATTTAAGCTGAACGCAGCAACAATCAAGTATTAGGTACCTGCTTGCTTATAACAAAAGTTTCTAGAATGAAAATGCAACCAGTACGTAACAGCTACTGTACCTAGAAGAAAAGATTCGCGGATTTCATTTTATAGCATTCCCAAGATTAATAACGTCAGACTGTAAAAAAAAAAAAAAATGGGATCCCAGAAATGAATTTGTTTCTTTTAAAACCATTCTCGTAAACTAGCACTTAAGCAAAGCCTTTTATTTGTAAGTGCGATATTTATATCTTATTTCGGTGTAAGAGAAGCGTTGGTACCTAATGCTCTCGGATTAGCTTCCAGGCAAGGCTGGGATGCAAAAACGTAAGTGAGACCAACTAGCTAGATAGACTTTACGGAAGAGCTTTTTGTCATCCTAGGTTTAAGCAGCCGAGAGTAAATACATAATGAGCAGTGAGCATGCTGTCGGCTTAACTACACTAGCTAGTATTTTCTTCAGTAAATAAAGCTCATAAATTTGTTTAACAGAGCCAAAACTAATGATTTTTATACTAACAAAAATATTACGATCCTTAATATAATTACAGAAATTTTCTTGACCCTGGCTTTTTAGTTTTTCCCTATTCGATTTAGATTAGATTGAACGCCGGTATATTACATATAGTGTCTAAAACGAGCCGAGAGAAATATGTTCGCCATTGGAAAATGTTCACAATAACAAACCGGACAAATCCGGTAAATCGCTGTGATCAACCAGTAGGTAATTAAAAGGTATGCGCTCCATTATTTAGCATAACCCAATAAACCAATCTATTAACGTACATAAGCTAATGTGCACGCACTAAATACGGGGCGTAGTAAATCTTGTATTTTGCGTTGTAGCCATTGCTAGCGGGACGAGATAATCCGTAGTATTGGTGTCGTGCCAGAACGCAGCCCGAGCATTGTTGCCGTGCTGGCTCCCGGCCAGGGATAATGGGCTTTACACCAAATGGATTTGCCTACCGAGGTCAACGTAAAACCTGGAAGGTACAAATTAACGGCACATAAAGCCTTTAAACCACTTTTATAATGCAATCGATACTCACGCAACAGTGTTTTGGACGCTTTTATGATCAAAATATTTGGGATATTTTGTGTTTGAAATAATATGAAACAATGCTGTGTGTGTGCGTTGATAGGATCGCTAGAGTTATGTACATGAATGGAACTTAAGTATGACACTATCATATGTACATACACAAACGTTATTTATTATCACATTGATTCTGACCTTCGCGTTTCGTAGTCAACCAGTCGTAGAAGACCAAAGGTGCCATGCAACATAATTTGTAAAATCTTGATGGTTTATAAAATATAAAGGTATAAACAATGTGTGTCTGCAGTAGCTAAATAAGAGATACATCAAAGTTACAATTAGTTAATGGACGAAAACATTTGGTAGATAATAGTCGCCTTGAGAGCAAAGTAACTTTGATCTTTACATGTCCATTACGCTATTATCTAGACTTGTACCTATTAACTCTTGTATTCAGTTAACTAAAGCTAAGACAAACACACATCTTCCCAAAGTACTTATAGATATACTTACCTATGTGGTTTCACATGTTTGAGTTGGATTTCTTAGATGGATAACGTAGTTTTGATAACTTATTTAATTGAAGAGATTGAGTCTGAGATTCTTGGTAAGTTGGTTTTAAAAGACAGGCCGATGATAAGACCAAACTACATAACACCGACGGTTAATTGACTGAATATAGGAATCGTA